CCACACAGTGTTACAGTTTCTGACAATGAACATGGCAAATGAACAGTGTCAACTGCCAGATAGAAGAAGAGGAGTAGGGTGGTGTGGTGGGAGGGGAGGGAGGCAAAACAGAGGAGGAGGGAGAAGAGGCTGAGGACATAGCATGTTCCAGATGAAATAAGGGCCACGCTTGTGGACCATGTTGTCAATCACGGCCTTACAATGACTGAGGCTGGTCAAAGGCAGTGAATGTTGTGAGAACAGCCAACTGTTCTGTCCAGGGGGGTTTCATCTGTTTACATTTCTAATGGTGTCTTTTCCTTTGTGCTATGCAGTGCTGTAAAACACTTTTCTGTATCACAGTGACAATAAAAACAATGAAAATGTAAATGTGAATCTGTCCGATCTTTCTCAGTCTCCCACATACAGCAATGTGAAACTGTTCTGCTGAAACTGCTACATGCCGTACAGAACAAATGCAGCCGTGTGTATTTTCATTGTCATAACCTGCGCCATGGTTTACATATGAAAATATTTTCAGTGTTTTAATTCTGACCGGTTCTTTTATCTGAAGGCCCCAAGAAGTAACACTCAGGAAACAGGAATCAGCTTTACGTAGATTTATTTTCTTCTGGTTAAATGCAGAGTTATTACAGCGCTGGGCTCTAATTCCAGAAATATATCAAAGAAACTGAGAAAAACACAATGCTGCATTCATGTTAACTGTGAGAAAACCCCCTGCCATCCATGATCAGTTTTCTCTTAAATAGTAACACGGACTTACTGGAATAAGTAATATATGCAATATTTTAGGTACATGATAGTTTTCTCACAATTGGGGATAAACATGTAAAAATCATAGGGCAAAGGACGAAACTCCACATTTCAAGTATATAGTAACAGAAATTAACGACCAATTCCATGTACCTGAAATGAATTATATTAATGAGCAGTTTTTGTACGTGACCGGTTTTGTTGGTGTTCATGAGAGCTCATATTTACTGTTTTTGTTGTATAACATGAATGCAGCATAAGGTTAGCTAGGTAGCCGGCTAACGTTACAAGCATCTAGGTTAATGAGTTTCTCTTTTGTACTTTGTGGCGCTTAATTGAAACAATGCTAAGATTCCGACATGCATATCCTGCACCACTGGTTATTTTAACGCTCGTTATTGTCTGACTAATGTGCTTCATGTAAAGTAATATCCTAATACTTCTAGCATTATTTGCTAGCATTAGCTAGAGCAGGTTCGTTAGCCAAAAATAACACTAAGAAGTCCTTCTGGTTCTATATTGTAATGGGAATTCTTTCAGCAAAGAGACAGAAGATGTTAGGCAAACACACTCCCGACAACCGCAACTAATGGGAATTATCTGGCGCACTAACAGGTAGCTAGAATCAGTCAGTCATGCTTTTTGATTGGAGTTTCCGATGAGTTTAAAGTAACGTTATTGATAGCACGCAACGTTAGATAACGTTAATACTTTCTCGGGCCCACGTTAGCGCATTTGTTGACAGATCAGTTACATTACTATATGAATGGAGTATGTAATTGTTTGGTGGTTTGAACCCGTGCCACGTTTGCAGTAATGACACTTTGCCACAAATCTTTGTGCCATTTTTCTGTGTTCTGTTACAAAAGGCAAATACAAGAAGCTTCCCCCTCATTTTACAACATAGTGCATAATGATATAAGTAGTCAATTGCGAGTATTTAAAAATGTAGAGAAATCAATATATATATATATATATATTGTACATTTATATTATAGAAAACAAGATCTTGTATTGCTCTGTACACATTGCTATATTCTATCTACCTGTTACAGAGTTTTTATACAGTGGCTTCAGAAAATAGTAATCTTCTTTATTGTTTGTACAGTTATTACAATATTCTGTTAATACAGTATTCAGTTATTACAGTGTTCTTGGCATTCAAGCCAAGCAAGGCCTGTGGCTCTCTCTCTGTCTCCTCTTGTTCTCGTCCTCATCCTCATTTGTAGAGTATTCTCCATGCTGTAAGCTACAGCCATAACTGTGAGGAGAGAGGAGATGTGATGCATTGAGCACATAGTTGCAAGCTAACCACAGTGAGATACTGTGTGCTTTTGTAGCTTGTAGTCCTTTTATGTGGACGTACATGCGCACAGCAGTTTAAAGTCACTTCCTGCAGACCATGCTCTGTTGGTCTTGTAGCTGAATATTTTACATATTTGTATAAACAATTGAAATATATGGTATAAACTCTGTCTCTGTGGGCCTGAGTAACCTGTAGTATAGGAAAATGCTGTGCCTTTGAATTCCAATTTGCACTTAAGGTTTGATTTATGATGACTGCTAAGCAACACAATCAGTACTACAGTACTCTTTTAATAGTCACTACCAATTTAGGCATGCTTTGTACCTTTTTCAGGTTGTACACTCACCATTAGCTGTGTACTTTTCATGTTTACCATCTGACACTGACTATAATAGCACTACTTTTGCCATTCTCTTCATTTTGCTATCACTGACATACACAAAGAAATTCAATGGATCAATATATACAGTAACAATTGCACATTGAGTGCTTCAGAAGCAGCCGGTCATTCTGGTTGGTTGGGATGCAGAAGCAAAACAATTACTAAAAGAAGTGAAGTTGCTGATGTGCCAACATGTGACTTTATTTCTATAAATATCCACACTGTTACTTATGAATTCACAGAACCCCAGTAGTTACTCTCAAAACCTCTGTTTCCTTTGGTATGCATTTTGTTTTGGACTGGTCATTGATATCAGGTCACATGATTGCACATGTGACCAGTTGAGGTGAATCAAATGGGGCAAGCCAGGAATGTAAAACTCAAAGCCACAGTTTCTCTTCACCCTCCCTCCCTCACACTCCTTTGGTTTTGTTTTCCCTTTGGGTGGTGCCTCTGACAAAACAGGATTCACTTTACTGTGGGTTATGAAAAACTGGCAGGGTGCTGCTCCACTGCGCCCAGCTGTCTTTGTTTCCTCGTTCTGTTGCATTACTTGTGTGGTGAAACCTAATCATTTCCAGGAACATGAGAGTTTGGCTTTCGGCCAGTCAGTCATAGACTCCAATGGACCAGTTTGGTACTTTCAGTTTCATTTCTCTGGGATTTGGCATAGAATGAAACACAGTAGAGTGGAGGAGGGAAGGGAGAGGAGTTAAAGCTGAAAGGTTTCTGGTAGAGAGGCAGCAGTTGAATTTCAGAGGGAGTTGAACTACTGATCTTTTCATTTAAAGGAATAGGTAGGTCTGCTTGTGTGTCATGCATTTTTACTGCTAACTATAGTTTGTCCATGTACTTTTACACATGCAAGATGGTTATGTGTAAGGTGTATGTTTTGATGTTTTAGTACAACTACTGTTTCTGATTATTTCTGTAATGTACATACAATGGATGTAAAAATCTGGAGTTAATTTTTAATAAGCATTTTAATTTTAATAAACTGAGTCATAGTAATATAGATTTCCATTTCAACTCTGATAGAGTTAGCCTTCTCTGTGGTGCTGTCTGCTTTGTCAGTGTAATCAAACAAACTGTTACGCTGATGCTACAGTACATTGTGCTTCTGATAAGAAAACTCTATTCAGGTGTTAATCTTTTTTTTAATCACATATCTCAACATTTAAATCAGAAAACCAGGAAACTTATTTAGAATTATGGACAATATTACAGTATTATGTGCGGAAATGCTGTTGTTAATCTGCAACATTCATAAATTCTTATATATATTTCTATATAAATATTGAGATATTTGGCACATTCATTGTTGTTACTTAAGAAAAATTTTCAATAATTATAATTCAATATTATAGTACTATATTTATGAAATGTAAACCCAAGTTCGTGAGAGGGTGCCCACCTGCTGACCCTCTAGACTTGCCGTCACCCTTATACCCACACAGAATTTGTATTGGCGTTGTTGATGATACAACTCAGTAGGGTCATTGCTGGTGTTTTTTTTGGCAGTGTCAGTGATTGGACAACTGAGTGGGCCCGGCTCTCAGAGGTGACATTACAAGCCAGTTTGGCTGGCCACTGCCTAACCTGACAAAATGCACAGCAGATACTGTGTGTCAAGCCACATATCTGCTCTTTGATTTGGGGGATTGATAGGTTTCTGGGATGCTTCGTTTTTAAGGGTAGCTTAAATTGAAAAATGGTCTTACTCACTGTGGGGGCCTGAAGATTTATGGCATCATGGACTGATACTCCACCTCTTTGGGGCCAGATAATGGTTAAACATATTTAACTTGCATACTGAGCTTCCATAGGGAATGCTTCCCTATTCTTTGGCACATCTAATTGTGTATTAACATCTGTAAGAAAAACATGTTTGTATTCCTTAAACCTGCAGCAATTGTTTTTGTGGCCACTTGGGGGCAGTGCAGTGAGCTTGTGTACACAACATTGCTTTGTCTGTCATTTAGTGCTATGCAGGTAGCAAGCACAGTATGTGATTTTTACAGCTTCTGCTGGGTCTTAAAATAACACTGGTAAGAGTGAACCAAAACAGCATAAATACAAACTGTGAAAAGGTCGCTCTTTTCTGTTTTCACACTGAAACAGGCTGTGAAACTAAAACAGTGAGTTAAACACACTCCAGATCTGAGGGAACCTGGAGAATGAGGTGATACTGTAATTCTTTTCAGGTTAACAAAGACCCATTTCATTTATGCAAAGTAATTTAATATATTGTTAAAACTAATTATTCATATACATCTGATAGCAATATGTAAGCCAATACCCATAATAAATAAATAAATACAGTAAATACACATTTCTGATAAGGATCACCTCATTTGGTTATTAAAGAATTGTGAGCAAGATATGTACTTTTCACACTAAAACAAACTTACATACACATTTACATAACATTTTTGGCAATTCTGGGCCATAATTTCTTGTTACCAATTGGTTAATATTCGATACACCCTTTTCTGATCGAAGCTAATATGGGCTGACCACTATCACCACTATCAAAACATATAAAATAAAACAATACTCAACCACACTATTAACAGTTGAGTTTTTTATTATAACATCAATCTATGTTGGATATCTGTGTACATCACTTAAATGGTACACATTATATATAGTTTATTAGTGAGAACACAGACTACAATAAAAATTATTTGCAGTCTTTACTCATTAATGGTGGTGTCTCCCTCCCTGACAGCATTACTCAAGATGGAGAAGGTTCTGGGAAATATCGTGTCTATGGTGAAGCAGCACAAAGATGGGATCCCTCTGAAAAAGCTGGCTGTATTATACAGCCAGACATACCACAAGAAGCTGACTTTATCCACACTGGGCTTCGACTCCATAAATAGCCTGGTAGCCTCTCTGGACAGACATCTGGTTGTGGAAGGGGAACTGGTGTTTCACAGGAACCAATGTAGTGAAAGTCAGAGTGGAGCTGGAGATGGAGCGGGTGCTGGAGCTTCTGCAAAAGCTGTGAGGGAGGAAGAGGTGTTCCATAAAATTCATCAGCCTCAAAATCAACCTGGAATTGGAATGTCAACAAAAGCTAAAAAGGGTACTAATGTTGAGAGGGTTCTGGAACATATAGTGTCTATGGTGAAGCAGCACAAAGATGGGATCCCTCTGAAAAAGCTGGCTATATTATACAGCCAGACATACCACAAGAACCTGACTTTATCCACACTGGGCTTCGACTCCATGAATAACCTGGTAGCCTCTCTGGACAGACATCTGGTTGTGGAAGGGGAACTGGTGTTTCACAGGCACCAATGTAATGAAAGCCAGAGTGGAGCTGGAGCTGGAACTTCAACAAAACCTGTGATGGGTGACCATAAGTCTCACCAGCCTCAAAATCAACCCAGAGCTGGGACGTCAACAAAAGCTACAGAGGACAGTAAGCCTGCAACTCCACAGAGAACTGAAGCACTAGGTGATAGGAGTGCCATACCGACTGTTACCATGCCACAGCTGGATGCCAGTCCTCAGTGTGTGCCTCTCACTCAGGCAAGAATTAGCTTTCCTTTGGCTTCTCCTACCTCTATAGTTTCCACCCACTGTCTTCCTATTAACCCACTGTTTGCACCCAAGCCAGCTGAACAGTTGACCCAACAGCTGCTGTACCAGAGGGTCATAGAGGTAAGTCATGTTTTCAAAGAGTTTCTGATATAAAAAAAAAAAAAACATCAAATGTATAGTAAGATATTACACTAATAACTTGCATATATTGTGGTTTGCTTTGGGATATTAGATTGTGTCTTTAACCTACTATTCTAATCTAAAAACTGACCATTGACCTTTACAGCACACAAAGTAATTAGCACCAACCACCTTTGTGAACCACCTGGTCAATAGGTTTGTTGATATGTTCCAGGTGATGAAGAAGCACCAGCTTACTGCTCCGTCAATGGAACAGCTCCAAAACTTCTATTTCCAGGAGTATGATGAACAGCTTCCTCTTGCACAGTACATGTCTATGTATGACAGCTGGGAAGCATCTCATCTTCAGAAGCCTACTCAGTCTGAACCAGCTGCAAACATTGCTGTAGTGCAGACAACTTCAGGTAGCCAAACATGACATTATTTAGGTTCATGCATAAAAGCACAAAGGTTGTCACCATATCAATACTAATCAGTGTTGCCATCTCCTCCCACAGCAGAACTGAATCTTATAAGAGAGCCTGAAAAAGAACGGCAGCAACCAGCTATCAGTTTCCTCTCTGACTCTGACTTTCCAGTGCTGGGGGCAAATGAGAACTTGACTAGAGAGCGAAAGAAAAAAGTGAGAGATGCACCCCAGAGTGACAGCAGTGCCCCTGTCTTTAGAGATTGTTATCATGCCCAGCTGAGAGAGGTCCATGGAGCTAATATGCGAGCAGTAGAGGCAATGGAGGAGGACCAGGCTGAGCTCACGAGGAAGAGGACGAACAGGACTCTGGATGTGGATAGTGTCAACAGTCTGATGGAGGAAGTGAGACGCGAAATTGCTGCAGAGGGCAACCTGGTCACCAAAGAGATGGTGAGGAGAAAGAGGATACAGTTTGACTCTGAAATGAATAATTACACAGTTTGGGAATACTTGTTTGCTTTCTCATTAATTGATATCACTTATGTTTGTACGTTATGAGACTTTGAGCCAATAGGTGATTAGTTTGGCTTAATGTCTAGAGCAAGGGGAAACAGCCAGAGTGGCTCTGTCCAAAGGTTAAAAAAAATCAGCCCACTGTCTCAGAAATGTAGCTAATTAAAAGTAGGGTTGGCGATTCTGGAAAAACCAGCAAGAAGAATCTCAATTTTGAAAGTAGACATCCGAAGAAATCCCACCCTTTCATTCTTACTTCTCTCCAAACCACTCCCAGAAAACAAAACTGATAATTTAATCTGAAAAATAGCCTTTTTCCCTCAATGCTGTACATTTGCAAACTGCAGCAAACTAATGTACTGCATTTCATGTCTTCATTCTTCTCTTATTGTCTTCTAAACCCCTATCCAGATGATATCCAGGGTGTGTCTGCTCCTGCAGATTCCCTCTTTGGAATCTGCAAGGATCAATCCCCGGACGATTTCAGCTCTAAAAGACCTTCAGTACATAGTGAAAGAGATCAACATGTTCATAGAGGTGGGAACATCTGTGTTTGCTAATAACCTGTGTGTATCTGAGTGTTTGGTTGTTAACGCCGTGTGGTGGTTAAAAATAAATCAGATTCCAGAAGAAATATGTAATAGAACAGTATGTACTTCACATATAGACATTACTTGTACTTAGTTTATTATTTGTACTTATTTGAGCTGAGTGGCTATGGGTTCATGTGAGTTGGACAATGGGTTTCCGTAAGTGGTCAGGAACAAAATGTTTCCTGTTTTTGAAGTACATCTCAGGGTGTTGTTTCCCGAAACTGGAGACAGGAAGCCAGGTTTAGAAATAGACGCAACAGCATAAGGGAGGCTGCTGATAAAAGGAGTGAGCCTGGGAGAGAGGAAAGAACCATGCTACCGTGAGCAGTGTACCACCAGGCCAGCCTTGGAGGGCCGGGGGGAGCCGACGACTGACTGGGGCTGACAGGGAACTGACTCGGGACAGAACAAATGACCTGACTGACTGGTGCTCTGACAATCTTCTTATGCTTTAGCTATTCCATTGTAAGAGGAGAGTCTCTGTTCTCTGTTCCCTAACTACAAGATTATCTGTTTAAATACTACTCTATTCAGAATAATTGTAATATTAAATGATCCTTTAAATTGTAATGGTTTGTCTGAATTAATTTAGTTGGTATCTCACTCTTGCCACAACAGCCGTCTTTTTTTCTCCTTCTGTCAGTCCACTGAAGCAGTGACATCCATCTGTACGCTTTATGAGCTGGGCCAATCACTGGCTGGCCTGAAGGACAAGAAGCACTATGAAGAGCTGAACCTGGGGCCCCTCTGCAAGCTCCCCCTCATCCACCGCATGTTCAAGATTGACAGTAACACCAAGGATGATGACATCCACCAGATTGGGACAATAGACATCTTAAAGGTGTGACTCAGATGACAAATGGCACATGATCTAGTTCAGGGGTGTCAAACTCAATCGCACAGGGGCCAAAACTCAAAGCACACTTTAGGTCGTGGTCCGAGCAGGATAAACATTTATTGGCTAGAGCCAATCTAGCCCAGGTCACCTGTCTATCACAGGGCTACATACAAACCATGTAGTAGTTAAGTATTGCAGATAATTTTTTTGTTTGATTGAGCTTTACATTTGAACTTTAATGTTTTCTATTATATAAGTTCTATTATACATAGTTTGAACAATTATCTACAGAAGCTTTTTTGCATTTCATTAAAGTTAATAATTTAGAACAGTATATTTTCATGTATATCTATACGTATGTATGTATGTACATCACAAAGTATCCGAAGATACACAAAACATCAACTGATTGTTCACTAGCTAGGACCCTGTCTTCACTAACTAAATGGATGGAAACGGTGCTCGGTGCAGGCTTGAGTTATGCACTGCGGTGTGGGGGAATGCTTCAGAGATCTGCACTGCTCACGGGTACTGGCACTGCATAAAGGGAGATAGAGGGGAGAGAATGATTTAAATTGGGGAGGCAGGGTGGGTTACAAAAAGCGAATGTGTATCTTTCTTGGTGGTTTAAATATGATTAGAAGCGGAAGGAGTGTGTGCCGTTCTGGTGTGGTCCTGCTCCTGAACCTCCGATAAAGTCTCCAATTTAAAAATCACATTTTTCTCAGTCTCTTGAGAGTCTTGATGCAAATGAAGTCAGGAAGGCCATGTAAGATAATACAAATGACCTCAAGGTGCTCCACAATAATAAATCCACATGGTTGCCAAGACAATATGTTTACCATGGTGTGCAGCTTAAAGATAACAGAGGAATTTCACTGACTGTATGTCTGAGCTTCAGGAGCTTGTGATATCATGATCTAAAAACACTAATGAGCAGTTTAGTTTGTGCTGAATGCTGATTATTATCACCCGAGAAAGTATCTTGTTCAGTCAGTAATCCTTCAATAACCAGCCTGCAACTGCAACTGTTCAAAACAGGTCAAATATAATTTAAGGAAACAAGCAAAAACAACATTAACAGTTACTGATGATGTTTCTATTATAACAATATAAAGACAGTTTTCATCTATTTTAACTTCATGGTTGAGTTTCCTGTGGCTTTAGATAGAGTATATGATTCTGTGAAACTTTTAATTCATTTGCCTAAATGTGTCTATTCTGTGTCATTTGTTTAGCAACTTCGCATTTTTCGAAGGCAGCAGAACAAACCAAAAGTAGACCTTGCTGAGTTTATGAAGCATCTGGCTGATCACTACAACTGTGAGTCTCCCTATGAGCTGGGCATCAGGATACACAGCCTTGGACTGCCCATATCAGTAAGAGACACAACCTACTTCTTTAAAATAGTACAAAGTCATTTAGCTGAAGGGGAGCAGGTGTGCTCATCATATGGAACAGATAACATTAACAGAGAAAAGTCATTGAGAGTGAATTGGTTTTCTCTCACAAGATACAGAAAATTCTTTTTTGGCTATGGTCACCACCTGTGGGTGGAAAAAAATGGATGACAGTGGTTCTGTAATGCCAGTGAGATCATGGCTGAGAATACCTACATCAATTATTAGAAACTGTATGCAATGACAGGAGTCTAAAGTTTTGTTTACATCTCCATGGGGGCTGCAGTGTTTATACACGGCATAAGAGTTTTATGGAATGAACAGAAGGCTGAGGATTTTCATATTCATGAAGTTTTATCATTAGTTGCACTGAAAATCAATGTACTTTGGTAGAAAGTGGTTTTTAATGTACAGCTAACTATCAACCACAGTGTGTTGTGCTGAAGAAAGAGGTACAGTAGCAGTATAGTTGAGATGAAACATAAGGTTGACTGTATTTTACCTGTTTGTTCAGCTTGTTTAACATTCCCTCTTTGTCTTCTTTAGTCCTTAATGAAAGTGAGTCGCTCTGAGCATGCAGCTTTGGAACAAGCCAGGGAGATCATCCAGAAAGAGCTGGAGGAGGAGACCCAAGAACGACTGAGAAAGATCAAGAAGAGCACGTTGGAGCCAGTGTACGGAGCAGGTTCCTTCTCCTCCACAGGCAGCTTGGACCTCAGGAAAAAGTATGCTTCCATGTCGGCAGCTGAGGTGGTGCTAGAAGTCTTCTCGAATGCAGTGGGGGTGTTCAGTCCCAGGATGGCCAAGGTGGGTGCCAGACACTGATGCTAGATTGAGATTGACAAATGTATTAGAAAGAGCTTGCTCAGTAGTGGTGTGGAAAGTGGTTACACCACCCTGGTCTTGTGTCCTTAATTTGCTGCTATGGACTGCTAGGGGTTAATTCCACTAAGCCACACACCATGAGCCATCAAGGGGAGAGCACGCAGTTGCTGTCCTGTTCTGAACTCATTTACAAAATGCTATGGTTTGTTAATACTTAATGAAGTAGCAAAAATGTTAGATGAATACTGGCTAGACATTAAATTGGAGGCTAAACTCACCATGCAGCCACCACGTTGTGCATGCGTTTTATACTGGAGAATTTATCCTACCTCCCTGCAGTCAATGATATTACATGCATTTTTCATCATCATTAAAGTGATATTCATTATAAAGCATTCAGGGCAACATCAAGCTGGAAGCAAGCTGTTGTCTAAGAGTCTGTATCATTGTATACTGTAGCATTTAGATTTCCCATAATTGTAACCATGTTGCCCAAACCACAAACAAACACTGTTCGGCAGATTTTATACCTGCCGCATTTATCAGAGCAACTAACCATTTCTAGGCTACTTTTGGGACCCAGTGGACCATATCAATACAAATACAATCAAAATATTCCTGTTAAATTGGCTACTGGCAAAATTTCCACACTTATAAGTAATTTGTGATGTCATGTTATTGATACAGAGATGTGTTTCACTTCCAATGCAGCATGTGCAGAGCTTCCTGCTGCAGGTGTCAGGTGACCGGCTGGCAAGGGCCCTGTTTCAGCTGGCCATCTGTGGAGGCTCCCTGACTATCCCGCAGGACCTAGTTCCCAAAAGCAAGGCTTCCAAAAGCACAGAGCAAACTAAGAAAGAGGACAAATCCACCACATCCCTGCCCAGTGAAGGTATTAATGTCGGATGCACAATGTTTCTGCCACATATATGATAATCTCTGCTAATATTTGTTAGTCTGTGACTGATAGACTTTTCCGCTCTGTCTCTCTCAGCCAAAGTGAAGCAGTACCTGAAAGACAACTTGTCCTCTCAGATCTCAGCCATCACTCTAGCTCATATTGCCTCTTTGGAGAGGAAGTTGACCAAACACTTCCAGGTCAACGATTTCCTCTCATTAGGGCAAGGCAGCTTCCTGGAGTTCCTCGTTAAACACAGTCAGGTACAAGCAGATTTTTTGCTGCCAACTTCAATATGAACTCAAGGTCTGAGAGTCATCCCAGAGATCTCTCACTCTTGCCACAGAGCTAAGATAAAAATGCACACAGCTTTCATCTGTTTGTCTCTGGTTGTGTGCAGCTGCTGCAAGACATGCTGGGGTCCACTTTGTTTCTGGCCAGTGGCAGCATGGAACTTGCAGGCAGTGGTTTCAGGCCCACCAGACAAGACGTGTTTGAGTTCATTAAACAGTGTGGTGACGTGACCACCACTGATCCAGATGAAGTGAGTCAGTTTACAGTCACATGCAGTCTTACTGTGTAAATATACAGACTTAAATATTTAAACAAAGCATAAAAATGATTCTTGTAGTATAGTAAATTAAATGTTTGAGTTGACCTGAACAATTTCAACATCTGCCCTCCTTTTCCCAGCTCTTCCACATCGAGTCAGCACTGAGGTCCCACTACAGGGTCCGGGACAGTCGTGACCTGGGCCATGGCACTCTGCAAATGTTGGCCGGCCTGGTCCAGCGCCAGAGAAGCCTGGCTGGAGGAGGACTGAGCCAGATCTACTATGAATCAGCCCTTTTTGCCAAACATGGCAAAACGAGGTTAGCAGTGTAATACCACACAGACATTACTCCAGCAGTTTGGTAATGCACCTCCTTAAGGTTGATAGAGTCACCGAAACAGAAAAAAAAAAGCTAAAATCAAAGCAGACGCACCTTAACTTTGAGCTGGATTCTTCAGTTTACATAATGTATCATGATAGTTATATTATACGCTCCCAGCTCCTCACATTTATAACTTCATTTTGTATCACAGGCTTTGTTACAAATTTTAAGGCTAAGTCGAGATAACCCTGATGATATCATTATGACACCATCTTTTTTACTTGGAGCCAACTGCCAAATCGGATCTTCCAGAAATGAAAAGATGTAAATACATGAAACAAGAATTACCAAAAACGCTCCATTTTTATCTTTATTTATATATCCTCCCACCTTCCTCCCATGAGCAGTGCTGAAGGTGGGTGTGAGGCAGTGGGATGCCTGGGTGAGATGTCCAAGGCCCAGGCTCTGGCCAGCTTGCTCTCCTGTCCTCTGCTGGAGAATTTAAATGATTGGAGCCAATGGGAGCTGATCTTTAAACCCTTTCATGGCTCTCTCAAAGATTTTATCGAAAGAAATGCAGGTAAGAGTAAGCCTCAGCGGGTTTGTGTATCACTAGATCTTTTGTAGATAACTGTGAAATTTAATTTCTGCTCAGTGTTTTTTAATCATGCCCATGAAATGAAATGAAATGAAAATGGTGTAAGTGGGTAGATAGGGTAATGTCAGATATGTATTTAATATTACCAAATAATCATATGCAACACTAATGTTATTTATAAATTTGTTTACAACAGCTAATACAGACCTAGCAGCGTTGGAGGTGACACCAGGTTTGCTGCTCAGGATCACCACACACACAGGAGACAAGCATTTTTCTGGTGCTGCCAGTGCCCTTGACCCTGTCGGTACAGCTGGCCACCTTGTGTCCATGGTGGTCGCTGATGGGATCGCCAATGCTCCCACAGCCCTCCTGGCCAATCACATGCACACCTCCCTGGCAGCAGCTGTAGCTAAAGAAGGTAGTAATGCAACAGAACTGGGAGATTTAAGTTTGCTTCAATTCAAGGAAATATTGAGTTTCAAATGCAGCATGATTGTATCATCACAACTAAAATAACCCTTGCCTTCTTTAGATTTCTCCCAGGCTGAAGATGAGGTGTCATGTTACAGCAGAGTGGCCAAATTCCTCTTAGCGTGCTTGACAAGAATCCCCAGCAAAACCTGCTTGGCTCTTTGGCAGCCGGTCAGTCACACTGGATTACTAATCTGGATTAGAGGATCAAATCATATAGTCTGTTATTTTTAGACAGAAGTTATGTTTAAACTTTGGATTATTCACTACATATGGTGAGAACAGATAG